CTACAAAAATTACAATTCCCCTATTGTAAATTCTACCGTAAATTAGAGCAACCGATTCTTATATAAAATGCCTTTGTTGACATTTTCCCTTGGCCTGTAATGTGACCAGCTGACGGCTGAAACTGATGGTGGCACTCAGTGTGAGTGTTAGCTGGTATTTCCGTTTACATTAAGGAATAACACGTCCAGACCTTAGCAGGTCCTTCCTGTGAAGCGGAAGGCTCCTGACAGGTTGGCTACTAGCTGCAGCTTTGCAAGAATACAAGTTTCCGTATGTTACATGAAACACGAGTGAGCAAAACTCTCCGATTTTCAGGTCTTAGCTGTTGCTTTGAGAAGCCAACACCGATCTGTACGTTGGGGTCTCTGTCTCTCTGTCTCTGCCCCTTTCCCGTCCCCTTTGTCATGCAATGCATTTTCTTGACATCAGACCTCTGAACCTCACAAAGCCTGTCACAAACCAGCTTTATCAGAGACAGCCACCACCAGACTACAGCTTTAACCAGCCAACGCCACCACCAGCAGACTACAGCTTTACCATCCAATGCCACTACCAGACTAAAAATGTTCTCCTTTCTCTGAGCCAAGACCTTCCATGCATGCGCACAATCCTACCAGGCACTACCACAGTACCACCAGTGTCCCTTCTGTGCCCCCTTCCCTACTGTAGGTTCTGTGTCTTGTACCCTCAGCGCCTCTAGCCTAGCAGGCTCTCCTTTCAGTGCTCAGGGGTTGCCTGTTCAAAATGTGCTTTCCTGATATCAGAGGCCTCCCTTAAGTAGTTCCATATAAATAACTATATACGAAAGCTAAATGGAAAAATGTGAAAAAGTTGGTTGACCTAGTGGCTTTCCCAAATATATCAACAAATGTTCCAGGACACCTGCTGTGAGTCACGTCCATCCAAACTCTTGCCTTGTGGTGTCAAGTCAGTGACAGAAAGCACACTCCTCAATGGGAGTGGCCACCCCAGAGGCCCCTGCAGCTGTAGCTGGAGTGGCCTTCTCTCTTCAACTGGAAGGAGTCGCACTTGGATGTGTATCTTGAAGAACAAGTAGATATTGTTTGTGACGTCACATGAGACACAATGGTTTAGATGAGGGGCAAGCTCAACATGGAATCTGTTCGGCAGGAAGAGGCCTGGAGGGTGAAGTAAACTCTCAAGACAGTCTTTTTTTAACTTTTAAACCAGCACAGGTTCTGCTCTTGGAGCGGTGATCAGTTAGCCACCAGCCAGGGTTAGTTGCTGCCCTTGAGTCTTGAAGCCACCCACCTTGGCCAGTATCTCTCAAACAAGACAGGGCACTGGGACCCACCCTAGAGGACATGGACATTCTGACTTCACAGTTTTAACACTGCCCCCTCAAAAAAAAAATAATAATCTGTACCTCACAGTAAGGTTTTGTCACTGTAGGTTTGGCTACCTTAGCTCTCATTTCTGCCCCCCACTGTTCTCAATGAAGCCATATCCTCACTGTGGTGTTGACCCTCCGATGGCCAAGCGTCAGTGCCCAGACTGGTGTCCCACTGAAGTAGAAGCACCGAGATTTCCCAAGTGACCTAGCTCACTGGGTTCAATAGCTGCTTGCCATTCAGCGATCAGGTGAGTGGAAACAAGAGTTCTACCATGAAGGAAGGCTGGGGAGGTGTCAAGGGAGCTCTAGAAATGGGACCCCCACTTCCTACTTCTGTGAAGGAAGCACCGTGTAACACTGGGCCAGAGTGGCAGCCTTCCGCCCTCCATCAGCGGTCACCATGGACAGTTGATTAGCGGGAACATTTCCTCTGAGCCTGGCTGCTTTCCCCACCCCCTCACAATTACCCACTGGGGGATGGGGAGGCTCTTTCCAGAGAGCAGAGCTCCAGGACTCTTTAAGGAAATCACTTCCTTGTGGAATGGGCAGGAGACACCAGCGCCTCCCCAATGACTTCTCCATAGCCCCATGTGTCACACCTCCACAGAAAGCCTGTGTTACCTGATGGACTATGTACACCGCAGTCCTGTCTTCCTGCATGCTGGCTTCTAATGCTTTTTGCTCTCAAGCACATAGGCTTTGGAACTGCCATGCTCACTATATCGTCACCATCAAGACTGAGAGGAGGGCATAAGCACTCAGGTGTGGAGACCTAGCAATGAAGAGGTCCCCTGCGGTCAATAAGGCCCCGAGCCAGTTTAGGAATGGCTCTGGCATGGTGATGTCTTCTACACCTCTTCCCTGTTCATATCTGACTGGACCATGGCTGTGCAGTGCTGGGTGCCTGCAGTTTCACACGCGGTTTCTTATTTGTGAGAAGGCAAATGAAACCAGGGGCCTAGGATTTTGCATGCTTTCTGTGGCAGTAAAAAGAGACTGAAGGCAGGCTCTGGGAGAGGACGCAGGCGTGACATGAAGACAAAGGACGTCCAGGGCCTGTGTGACTGGGTAAGTCTGGGCAACCGAGGCTGGAAGTGGCCTAAGCAAGTGGGCAATGCAGGGAAGAAATTTATCTTCCGCAATTAAGGTCAGCGAATACCTCCTGTAGAGAGTCAGACAGTAAATACTAGAGGTTTTGAAGGCCCAGGGTCTTCCATGTCCCTGGGCCTTCTCCAGCCTCCCCAGAACTGGGGTTTGATGCCTGTCCAGTTTAAGCTTTCTCTCCCTCTGGGCTACACTTTATTTAACCTGTTTACCTGTCTCTGGCCCATAGTTTCTGGGTGCCTGTGATGAACAGGTATCTGGTGAGGCTCTAGGGACAGCACATGTGAAGGGGACAGGCCTGTGCAGCAGACATACCTTGCTGAGATTCCTAGCCTTGGCAGAAAGCTCAGGGCTCAGAGACGAATGAAGAATCTTTGCTGATGACAGCCATGGCCAGAAGTGAACTGCCTGGCACACAGCTCCATTCCCTGTTCAAATGCCAGCCCACGGGTTGATTCTGACGTCAGAGCTGGACCCCAGAAGCAGCACCTCCGAAGAAATGCCTGCAGACAGCCTGCTCGGCTCCAAGAGCCCTGCCCAGCCCAGAGCCATCTCCATGGCTCCAGCCTTCTTTGGGGAGAAAGAAACGTACTGTAGCCAGCCGGAGGGACAAGTTGCTTTATTATTGGAAAATCTAAGAGTCTCTCAGGCCTGTGCTGCACCATTAGGTGACGTCAATAGCTCAGGAGATCCAAGCTCTGTGTTTTCGCTCTTCTCAGAACAGCAACTGATTCATGGTAGCAAAGGGGTTTCTATTTAGAGCTGCAGAGGGGAGGCGGCCTCCGTGTCCTGGCATCCTATGCTAATGGTTTGCCCGCTCTCTGTGGGCAGCAGGCAGAGTTCACGGGAGGCCAGGACTGAGACACTACTTCCCCTAAGCTAACCAACAGCCCTAGGCCTACTATGTGCTCTCAGCTTGGCATGCAAAGCCTGTGACATTGCTAGAGAGGGGACGGCCATTTAGCACACAGCTAGCTGTGACAACGGGGACAGAGGCAAAGCAAGAGAGGGGCTTTGGGGGTCTGGGGAAGAAGGAGCGACTTCAAGATTCTTGGGCTGAGTCATGAAGGACCAGTGGGATGGAGGAGTGGGGGATGTGGAGGTACAGGGATGGATAATAGGGGCTCTGGAAGTTGCTTCACTGGATGAGAAAGAAATGAGGGGGAGTGCGGAGGAGAAACTGCCTGACTTCAGCTCCATCCCCTGCTAAAATGCAAGGGAATAAACTGATATTGATGTTGCATAGAGCCTGCCATGGCTTCTGTGGGAGACGGGCATGCTGGATTTTGGACATGAATTGTACCTGCTTAATTTCTGGCATGAGAATGGATGGAAGTAAGTCTCCCTGTCCCCTCTGTGGGTCCACAGACTGAAAATAATGGCCTGTACCACTTCGCGCATATACATAAGTCCATCTCTAAAGGGATACCAGGATTCCACATCCCTCTCCCTTTGCTTATTGCCTCTCGTGCAAACCTCTTTCTTGCTCCTGATGTGTCTCTGTGGGGCTGTTTGATGATGTTTTTTTCTCCAGTGACAGTGCATCCACATCCTTTCCAGGTGGGTGCTATCAACAAATCATTCCTGACCCCAGATTAGGTACCCAGTGGCAATGGATGCTTTTTTGGTTGGACTCAAACTTCTGAGCCAACATATGACCGCAGACACTTTTGACATTTGGGACTCCGTGAAGGTCACATGATCTGGCCCCTCTTTCCCTCCAGGACTCCTCTCTAAGAGGAGCCTAGGGGGCTTCTGTCTTGTGGCCAGTTCAGCTCTTCATCCATCCACACCCATCCTGCCCCCATCATCCCCACTATGTGAGGAAAGGATGGATTAAGCCCTAGGTGTCTTCGAAATTCCTAAGAGACACTGTCCCTTCTTTGAAAATCAAAGTCAAACATCGTAGTTTATGCATTAAAAGTAGCTCACTGATAGCCGTATTTATTTCATACTTTCTAGTCCAGAAGTTATAAGGTATGAGATGGACACTCCATGATCAAATAGAAAAATATAAATCACATAAAAGTACTTCCAGCAATACTGGAACATTACAAACCACCTTAAGGCATTTTTAAACCTAAAACCTCCCTAAGTTTCTTTTACTTCAGAAGACAGCATTCGAAAGGCACTGCTCTCCACGATGTAATGTAAGAAGAGAATCACAGTACTGATTTGGAATGGTTCTTATTTTGGCTGCGAGCTGGAGGAGCGACTGCTCACACGCATATATACTTTTCATTTGTGTAAGAAATTAAGATAGGAAGTGGAACATTTTTCCTTTTGGTTTTGAGGAAGAATCTTATGTTCCCATAGAATGTATTAGCCTGGAGAGACCACGAGGCATAGCGTAACCAAAGCACACTCTAAAGAGAGTGAGACAGGCTTGTGGAGAACTGGAAAAACATCCTGGCAGAGGCTTCCCCATACAGCTTCTTAGATAGCAGATACAAGAAACTATGGAGAAAGACAAGCAGAGAACAGGGCGAGGATGACGCATGGGCAAGCTGACAGAGCGGCAGAGGACACGGGATACTGTACCTGCTTGTTATTGTCAGTGGTACAGCACAGCTTCTTGAGGGAGACAAAGTGCCTAATTTTCCTAATGACATAAACAATCAGTGATTAGTGAGGCGGGAAAAGGAGGAAGCAATAAGGCAGCACAGGGATACGGCAAAGCTGACCGCCAGGCCCTTCCTTCCCAGTGCAGATCTGGTCACAGAACTACATTTGCCTGCAGGAGCCTGGCTTCCCTGCAGCCCCAGCTGGTGCGGCCCCTCCTCCCTCACTGGCCTGCAGGTCTTCAGCTGCCTCCTGGATCTCTTCAGGAGAGACTGCCATGCTACCACAGCAAAGCTGGCTTTAATCCTACTGACACAAATATTTCGTTGCTTACACGGAAAGCAAAAGACTCATTTGGACGGTGACCAAATTTCACGGTTGCTGTTTTTTTCTCTTAAACATCCTGTGTGGTACGCTATGGCTCACTGTAACGATGACACTGAGGTTTTTCTTTTAGACGTCCTACGCTGCACACTGTGGTTCACCATAAGGATGGCATTTTTGTTTGTTTGTTTATTTTAGCCTTAGGGGGGAAATCCCTTGATTAAACAGTCACAAACTGAATCCAGGAACTTAGCCCATGGTCTTGTTCATTATCACAAGAGCACTAGGACAATAGACGCCAGGTGCACCAACCTAGTGCAAGTCAGCTCAAGGTAGATCCTCACTTGGGAGTAATGCTGTGGAATACACTGTGTGAGAGTGTACACCCAGAAGCCTGTGGGCACCCCTTCCTCCCTATCTCATCCTTCTTCCTGGCTCACTTTCCACTGGAGGGTCTCTGACGAGATCATAGGGAAAGACTGATGGATTTCATAATATGAACTTCACCCAAGCAAGAAGGGGTAAAAGGTCCCCATTTTTAAATCAGAATTGCCTCTGAGAGCTCACTGCCTACAATTAGAGGAAATAATACAAAATCATGTCTGGATTAAAAAAAAAACTTCTTTCCTTCATCTGTCAAATCAGGAAAAAAAATTATTCTGATATAAATTACCAGGCAATAGCATGTCTCCTCCACTTTGATTGCCCACTGATTCTAGCAAAACACACAGAAAAAGACTCGGCTTCCTGCTTCCAAGAAGACAGTCTAGGAGGGGCCATAAGGACAATGGGACAGTCTCAGGCACCATCTCCTGTGGCTCTGTATTGGCCACTGTTGGGATCGCTAAGCTGAGCCAGCACCTATACGGAGGGTAGGCAGCCTCTCCCGGTGGTGGACAAGCCTTGTTTAGGAGCCTGTCACAACCCACAAACTCCAGAAGCCAGCCAGGGAGGAAATGCCAGAGGAACACTGGACAGACCTCTCAAGTGACTGAAGGACAGGTTTCAAACTAATCCAGCAAGGAAAATTGGAGGGAAACAACCTTCAAATAGACAGGCGATCTTACGGAATGGGCTGATTTTCCATCCCGCGATGATCTGAAATGAACTCGGGTGGTCCTGGAAACCATGTGTGAGAGGGGCTATCTGGTTTCTCACAACCGCTGTCCTATTTTCTTCACCAGTATGTCACATGTTCCTCACAAGGTCAAACCATTAGGTGGTAGTGACCTTCATGCTTTCTGCAAGGCTCGTCAGTGAGTTTAGTTAGGAGGCCCATCTGGCACTCTGAGCCTTTCCCCAAAATATACCTGAGAGAAGGAAAGGGAATCATATGTTTCATTTCTCATGCCCTGCCCCCATGGTTCTCTGGTCAGGTTTCATTGGCTCCTGTTCAGACACATCCTGCTGTAGGTTAGTGCCTTTAGGACACTCTGAGCCCTTGCATAAGCTCAAAGTCAATATGGAACAAACTGGGGCCTAAAAGAGAGAAGATTAGCACCCCGTGGGCCGAGGGCAGAAGCCTGTAGTGCTAGTTGGAATTCACTTGCCAAGGGGAAGGACAGGCAGAGACCTTGAGAGGTGTTGGGAACAAGGGGGTCAATCATGACCAAGCCATAGCTGGGGAGTAGAGCTGGTGCTGCAAGAAAGACCATGAAGAGGAGACAGGGGTGGGGGAAGAGGGAAACCATGTTTGGAGATTGCTGCTGGCCACCTAAGACTGGGAAAGTGCTCCTGTGTGTGTTGTCCTATGGTTTACAATGGTATTTCAGTGTGCCAGACAATGCCCACAAGGGCCTGGTCCCTCTCCGCAGCAGAAAGAGTGGAAGAGTTTGCTCTCACCCTCCTTGGCCAATCACTGGGGTGATCTTCACGTGCTGTTGGATGCTGTCCCCGGATTTCCGTCTGGCATAGTAAACCCCCTGCCACTCCTACATGGACAAAGAGAGCTCTTGAGATCCTTCAGTCAAGACCACAGCTGCTCCCACACTGCGCCTTTGCAGACTGATCAGAACTTCCCACAGACTCCCATTCCATGTCACGGCACTGCTGGGCGGTTGTCCCCGCTACAACGCCATCATGATCTCAGGGGATAAATGTAGGAGCACCAGGCCAGTGCGTCCACTACCAGGGTGTCTGTCATGAGCTCCAGGGCAGCTGGAGTTCCCAGCAGGCACTCCCTCAGGGAGCCACCACAGTAGAGTTCAGTAGCCAGCCTCAAAATCGTCACAACAGCTCATAGGCCTGATAGTATCATTCTTAACTTATAGATGGGTAAACTGAGGCTCAGAGAGTCCAACTAGCTTGTCTACACGGGGAAACAGAGGATCTATTTATAACTGTGTAGTTCTTTTATCCTTCCCAAAGTGCCTCGGCTTTCTGAGATTCTAGACACCTCCCACCCAAGGGTCACAACGATCCCTTGCAGTTTCCACAGATGGTGCCGAGGGGAGGGAGAGATTCCTGCTGCCACAGGACCCTGGGAACTGTACTGAAATAAAGGACCGGAAGCCTCAGGGCGGAAGTTTTCTCCACTGTTTCTGGGAGTAGATAACTCTGAAACTGAGGTACCTCGCAGCTATATCTTGATCTCTCTTGTTTATGAAGTGATTAATGACTGTGCCATTTGAGGTTGCCTCATGTGACTGGGTTATTTTGGCAAAAAAAAAAAAGAGGAGTACTTTATAGTATCTGGTTTCATTTTCAAGTCTTATCGATCTGATTTTGGAAGTAATTTGGACATTCTTATAATCTAAATTTATTCTATCCCTGCTAGTGCTCCCGTCTCCAATGAAGATGATGCTTAGCTACTGCCAACGGAGGAAAGAAGAAGAAAGCAGAGCCACGTGAGAAGCTTTAGGACACCTCAGAAGAAGCAAGAGCTCACTCCGGCTCAGAGGGAGGAGATGACAGCCCGGGAAACATCTCTTTTCCCTCTGCTGCACCTTCATCTTCCCAGAAGAAGCAAAAAAGAGGTTGGGGATGGGAGGGCTGGGGAGGAAGAGTTACCCGTGGATACGGCACAGCCGTGAGTAAAGAGAACAGAAGGAAGATGGGAGATATTCGACTAAAGCAGCAGAGCCTACAAGTCAAGGTGGATAGTAGGTCTCTCTAGCCCTTCCTACCAAACCCCAACAAACTGAAAAGGAGGAAGGAGCTACTTGGGTAGAACCCCGCTCAGGGATGCAACGCTAGGATAGTGGGGGCGTCATGCAGGGGGCAAGTGGCCTGTCCACAAAACAATCAGCTCCTGTGTCATCATGTTGGTATCAAAAATTAACCCATCAACTCCTTTGCAAACTGCAAACGGAAGCTCACTGAACTTTGATGCTCCTAAAGAAGGCAGTCTTAAAGATAAAAGACTTACACATCCAGGGGCGGGGAGGGGTGCTAAGGGAGGAGTGTGGGTGGGTTCTTGGTCGCACCCACCTTTCCCTTCTTGATGCACGTATTGATGGTGTCCAGGAGGTCTGCCCGGTTCTTGTCACTCTTAGGTAGGTCAGCGAGTTCTTTGCCCAGGAGCTCCCCTTTGTGGTAGCCCATCATCCTCTCAAAGGCAGGGTTGACATACTGTGAGCAGGAGGGGTGATAGATCAGTGTGCCCCGCAGGGAGGTTGTGGGGACACAGGGATACAGAGCCAAGGGGCCCCAGGACAATACTCTACAATGTGGGTGCTGCAGGCCCCTCCTTCTTCATCCTGTAGGAGCAGTACCCCCACACACGGCAATTTGTTCATTCACTCGACATCCTGGTCCTCTATGAGAAATGCAAGGACGCCTCAGCAGGAAGGAAGCAGGAAGCCCCCAGCTGATAGCCCTAACCGCTGGTGAACTTTACTTGCTGTCTTCTACCCTATGAAACAAGGAAATCCTCACAGGAAAACAGAAATAGGAAGAGGGCTGGGTTTGCAGCTTGGTGGCACCGTGTTTGCCTGGCACACATAAGTTCCCCCAGCACCGCTAAATAACGAATAAGCCAACACACACTCACCATCACATGCAGCTTCTGTTAGTGACACTGCAGTGCAGCTGATTGGTGCTATGTGTCTCCGCACTTTCCCAATCAATCAATCAATCAATCAATCAATCAATGCTATGGTTGGGAGCACTTTGACCTCACGTAAATAACAGATGCAGTTAGTCTATGGGGCTAGGGCATGCTCTTTCAGTGCTGAGGTTAGGGTGGGCAAGGAGAGGATGCCCACGGGGCACTCGGATGTCAGCAGATCCGAAGGGTCATCAGCAAACTTCTGCAGGGACTTCTGGAAGCTGGAGCAACTGCTTTGTCTGACCCCAGTCCTCCACCAATTTCTTTTTAAAGACCACAGTCATCACATGAGTAGCCATAGCCGAGAGAACAAGCGGTGGCAGATGTGAGCACGCTGCACCTGGGTCAACAGTTTCTTTGGGAAAAATTCCCATCCATCTGCTGCCTCGGAAGCTTTCTCACTGGCCATTCCCACCCTCCCCTTAGCTAGGGGAATCCATCAGGAAGTGGGTAATGCAGGGATACTGCAGGGGGCGGGTATTCCCTTGGGAGCAAGCTTCTGTGAATCCTGAAGAGATGTGGAGGAGTCTCTGGTTATCAGGCACCACAGGAGTGGCTGAAGAGGGGGAGAGGGTGCTGACAGCATCTTCTTGACCTCCAGATCCTGCCCAGTTCACTTCCATGACAGACATTGCCGTCCCTCGGCATGGCAGGAATCCCGCCTATCATGGCTGAGCTGGTAGCACGTCCCCTCGCTAGGTTTTCCTCTACACTCTGTCTGCTGAGAAAGCCCTTCCTCATTTCTCCCCCACCAACTCCAATGTGCCTTTTCCTCCAGGAAACCTCCTCTGACCCTTGCTCTTTCTGAGCTGGTACCATTCCTCAGGGCTCCCATGACTTCTGTGTGGTAAATTCTGATGAATAACATAGAACTTGAGATTTGTCTCTCTCTCATAGGACACTGAAATCCTCAAATGCGAAGGCTGGGTTAGTGACTCCTATTCTGCCAACGCTCACTGAGTAAATGGGTATATTAGAGAGTCTTTTCTCTTCCTGATCTGTTGATTGTCTCCTACATTGTCATATGTGTGGGCTCTGCTTTCCCATCTGTAAATCTGAGTAATGGTTACAGCTCTTTTTTATGTTGGAGATCCTCGAATCTCAGAATCCAGAGGCATCATAGACAGCACTGGAGCCAACACACTTAAATTCAAATCCTTAGGAACCATTAGAAGATGACTCCATTTTTTTCGCTCCTCTCTTTCTGTTTTTCATCGGCAATAACACTACCTGGCTCCCAGGGTTGTTTTCGAGAGATCAACGAGGATAAAATGCTAACAACTCTGCCAGCACAGGGGAAGCCCATGCAAAGGTTTTCAGAGCAAATGCAGATAGAATGAGGCCTAGAGGTGGCAGGGATAGAAAGATTGATACATAAGAAGCTGTTTCTAGATGTTAAGTGTATCACATATGCCCATGGATACACGGCTATCTGTTCAAGTTCCCTGAGATGGGGCACTGATGTGAACTAGCCTGTCCTTGATGTGTCATGTGAAATCCAGGTGAGGGTCCCTGAGTGTCGCCTCCACGTACCATCTCTGCTCTGCTTCTCCTTCCTTTCACTGCACAACGTATGTTAGAATCCAAGATTCCCTTTCAGCAGAGCAACTTCCCCTGTGTGGGTACCAGTTATCCTCATACTCATTTTTTTTCTGTCCGTGGAAGAGACTGGAGCGAGGGCATGATTTATGTCATGTGACATCACCCCATCACTCCTCCCAGGGATGCAGGTTTGCTAACCACAGATTGTGGCCATGGGGCAAAGGACTCGGTTCCTGGTCAGGGTGGAGAAGGCATGGGAGGGCAGGGCTACTTCGCCTCAGTTCTGACTCACACCCCAGCTTCCCACTGTGATGTAGGTAGATGCAAAGCCAGTGTCCTCATGAGGAGAACTGAAGGGTCATGTCTGCTTGTACCCAACTTTCTATATGATTTAAGATATGGAAGGGTGGGCAGGAAGTGTAAACACAGCCAGAAAAGTACGGAAAATGTTGGTTTTATTTCAAGGGACAGCCAAGAATATTCTGAAACAGCCCCAAATGAATTCAGGCAGGAAGGCTTAGGAGTCAGAAATATGGCTTAGTAACTTGATTTCAGTGCTCACTGCTGTCTCTTTCCTTGTATAAGTTCCTCTACTTTGCTAGGCCTCAGTTTCCCCATCTACCTCTCAAAGGTACAGATCTGAGCAGCGACTACCCAATGGAACTTCTCGTGACAGGGCTCAGGTGTGGTGTGCTACAATGCCTCTGACCTGGGACAGGAGCAAGGCATTGCCTGTGTGCACACTGGGGGAAATCCGAGGGTTCAAAATGAGGCTGGTGCCAGAGGAGCCATGATGTGCTGGTCGCTGGTAAAAGCAATTGCTCCTCCGTAACACTGTGCACCAGCCTCAGCCAGGGCAGGACTAATCAGGGGACCAGGGACATTTCAGAGTACTCTTTGAGGCAGGTAGAAGATTCTCTGTGTGTGCATTTCTTTAGAAAGATGGCAGCAGTATTACAGTGCTTCATAAAAGAATACCATGGCAGGTGACCAAGTACCTGAAGTATTCTGGTCCTATAGCCACTTACAAGCATTTGCCAAACAACCCTGGGTCTTTACTGTCTTTACAGATGGCCTAAAATTTTCTCCCACCTCTACCTAAGAAATAAAAAAGTTCTGATATGAGCTAATAAGTTTCTTCTATGGGGCTAGAGAGATAATGGTTAAGGGCACTGGCTGCTCTTCTAGAAGACCTGGGTTCAGTTCCCAGCACCAATACAGGGCAGCTCACCATTGACCATGACTCCAGCTCCAGAGTACCAGACACCCTGTCTCCAGGCACCCACACATACACTCGGGCATGCATATCTGTGCATATGCACGCACGCACACACACACATACATACATGCATGCACTCATGCATACACACATACATGCACTTTGAAAATAATAAAACATGACTGTTGTTCTCTCTTGAATAGCCAGTTCTTACGTCTATCAGTAGTTGTCTTATATATTGATTTTCCTTTCTTGCAAATATGTGAAAATTATGGAAAAGTAACTGAAATAAAGAGAGAGTAGAACCTGGAAGGCTCTATTTTAGTGTTAATGAAATGAAGCACTTCTTCCCATACCTGAATCACATGATCATCACTTGTTATTTCTATGGCTTCATGACAGTGGTCTAACGCTGTAAACACTGAATTACAGGCCCTGAAAGATGGAGAAGATTAGGGTTAGTGCTATACAAACATCGCTTGAACTTTGTTAATTTGGCAACATCAACAGACCCCAGCGTTACTGGCACTATGCACTCTGTTACTGTTCATATCCTGCAAGCTGGTATTTCCTCACATCTTGACATTTCAACACAATGTGCGATGCTGTAATTTGGGCACAGTCATGGTCATGGAGAAGGTCAAGTTCCTGTCAATGAGAAGAACCAACCCAGCCTGGCCCAGACTGACCATGAGATATGTTGGCCTTTCGCAACACAGAGAGAGACATTTGCTTTCCTTTTCTTAGGATGGCGATGCCACTTCGCCTACAGCCACACCCACTGACATGAAGAAAGACGGGAGTGGCAGGTTGATCCGATCCCCCCTTGTCTAGTTCTTTGCACCTGTGTATCTTTCTAGCTTCCTACGTGGCTCCTTCTTTGCTGACCTCCCCCGGGTGTCTGAAATATTCTAAATCAGACTCCAATTGTGATTTTGATTTTAACTAGCTTCCAAATAGAAAACAACTCCAAATACATTAAGTTTTACACTAGCCAACACAGCAACTACATGGCTAGAACCCTGCTATTTAGATGGACTGTATAAAGAATCCAGGAAGGCTTTCTCACACAATGCAAAGAGGAAAAAAATAAAAAGAAAGGAAAAGGTTGATTTATGGGATGGATATTTCTTCTTGTAGGGCAAATTCTTCACTGTTATTTTCCTACCGTGAGGGAGTGTAATTGGCTGCCACTTTGACCTATTTGTTAGGAAATGACAGAACACTGAGGAAAATTGGGCTGTTTTTTTCCCAGCTACAGGATCCTGGGCAGCTTACGGTCTTTGCTTTTCCTCATTTTCTCCATCTAGAGAATGACTGTAAAAATATGTATTTCATGGGGTTTCGTAATGACCTGAGTGATGGATGACTTATACAGGCATTTCTCAAAGTGCTCGGGCCCACATGTGGAAGAAGACAGAGTATGGTAGGATTACTACCTGTAAGGTCATAGTCATGGTGCTTTGTTCTCTGAGGCTGGCAAAAGCATCCAGAGAAAAGAAAAACTAATTGCAACCGATCTTTATCCGTGAGTCTATGTGAATGGGACTCAGTAGCAGCAAGATAACCAGCCTGCAGGCAAGAAGGACCTCAGCACACTGAACGATGACACTCATTTCTATGAATGCAGAGATGGAGCTATCTGCATACGGATAGGTAAGACAAGCATTCACGCTCTGTTCAGCAGGGCAGAGAATGGGACCAGCCTGATGCCATGGCCATTCCTGAGTCTTACAGGGCATTTCTTCATTCCAATTGCCCACCCAACAACATTCGTACTGTGTGGATGGTCTAATCACCACCACTGTGTTTGTTTTATAAAATCAGCAGAGCATCAAAAGGAAAGCTAAGATTGCTATCACTATCTCCACTGCACTCACTCGTGAGAGGCAAGCAAGAGCTAAGGGTTATCAAAAGTGCTTTGTGCACACCTGGTCTAGTTAGAGTGAGCTCAGCTCCATGGGAAAGCCCTTCCAGACACTAAGTGCCTCTCAGAAGTGATGTGTGGAGACACCGACTCCACGGAGGGTAATTTGTCATCTCTGAGAGCTGGGTAATTAAGTTCTAATGAATACGTTTTGTCATATTCCTCTCTGGCACAGGGTTTCTGCAAGGGGTCTGTGCATCTCAACTACACGTGCAGACAGGTGCTGCAGGCATGATCATTTTGTCTGCTTCCTAGAGCTTCCGAACAGTATGTCCCAGTGTCCAGAGGGACAGCAAATCCCTATACTGCCATTGACACTAAGGGACACCGTTCAGGACGAGGAATGACACAGTATTCTCCTTCCTAGCCCTACCATGACCAGCTATGCTATTTGGACTTTTCAACCTCCTTGGGTTGATGGCTCTATTTAAATAAACCCGCACCAAAATGGGGCAATCAATTTGAGTCATGTTCCCAGAACCAGGGAGCCTAATCGCTGGCATTAATCATTCATACTTTTCAGTGAGAAAAGCTGCAGCCTTATTAGTGTCTATTCTTGGGAATCATGAACTGTATCTCAGATGTTTTTATGCGTTATCCTTAAGGTCAGAGGTCAGAAAACAACAGGAAAGACAATGGGTAATGTAATTGTTTCTTCTGTGCCTTCTCTGGGTTTCAAAGGTTCAGATGGAAAAGGCAGCTGTCCTGGGGTACAGGTAGGAAGTCCATAAACAGCACAATGGCACGGTGGGTGCAAAGTGCACGTGAGTGCTTGATTGTACTCGAGCACGGTGACCAGGGTGCCAGGCAGCTGAGACCACATGGAGAGAATTTCTGGCTCTTGGTGTTTTCTTGTCAATTATGGCTGGAGTTGACATGTGCTGTGCTGTGCTGTGTATCTTAGAAACGTACTTCATCTGGATTCTACCCAAACAGAACACACACACACACACATACATGCACACACCACCTTAAACAAGGATAGGACTGAGCAAGGCAATGGTTTTTAAGAATATTCTGAACATGAGTTAACATCCAATCAGAGGCTTAAAATTAGTCAGGCAGACAGAAGAATAGGCCAGGGGAATCATGGGATCTGCTTGGTGGCCATCACGGGCAGTGGCAAGGATGAGGAGGGATGGCTATGTTAAGTGTCCACAGCTCTGTGCCCACTGCTGCTCCGCCCTGGCTGCTGCACAGAACCCATGTGAAGATAAAGGCTCTACAGATGTGTTCCTGAGAGAGGTGGTGCGTCACAAGACATTCACCCATCAGGCCCTGAATCTTTCTACAACTGTAGACTGCACTGTCTTAAGGTCTGAAGTAAAATAAATATGGTCTCTGTGCAACTCCTACATTAATAATGGGAAGGAGCGCTGGAGCTGTAAGAGCATAAACTCCTGTGAGGTTGATAAGTCACTGTCTTTATTTGAGTGACAAGGTCCTTTCATGACAAAGAAGCCAAGAACATCAGAAGAGCTACATGCTCGCCACTCAGCTCGGATCACCCTGGACACTGCTATTCAGGAATTCTGTTCAGTAGAGCAATTCAACAAATGTGCACAGAAGGGGTTAGGCCCGCTCTCCCTAAAATACATTCTACACAGAGGAAGTTTCCAGTTCGGCCCCATCATTTGCTCGATTGGATCGAACTTGAATGAATGATTGGCTTTGTAATGTACAGACGGCAGTCCCCATTCTCAGACTCCGGGGCTGCAGTGTCCATCTTTAACACGGGGAGCAGCAGTGCAGGCTGTGTCCTTGCAGAATGACAGTCATGCTACACATTTAGCTGCAGCTGGGGGCGGGATTGTAGGGGGAAAGTATTACATAATTAGACTATAATTATTCTGGCATTGTATAATAAAGAGCTCATTTCCCAGTCTTTAACAAATGACATAGTTGCTTGTCTGCCTTGGGGTACAGGTAGATGCTCCCTATGTCCTTGAGTGCCCCAAAGAGCTGGAGTAAGGTCACTGTCTGGATCATTGTCTTCTGTCTGCTGGGTTCAAATCTTGGAGGCCCAGGGAGAGTCATGTAAAGTGTAAGCAGTCCCAGCCCTCAAAGGGAGTAAACTCGGCAAGGCAGAGGGAAGGACAGAAGGCCAATAGTATTGCAGGTGGAGAAGGAGACAGCATTCTCGAGGGAGGCAAGCCCTGCTCGCCGGGGCTACTGCTTCCTGGGTTCAGTGCAATCACTAGTTTGATGCTGCTTTACATGAAGAACCTGGACCCAGCAATGCGTCCAACTCCTCCAGGTCCTCTTGGGGAGCGGAGGAGCGGTGGCAGCACTCACTCTGGCAGGAGCTGAGAAACACGAGGGCTCCCACACATGTCCTGGTCTGCTTGGGTCTCAGCAGCACATTGACCTTCACAAGGGGCTGGCAGGCGTGCTCATTTCAGACTGCCAGGCCAGCTTGTGTCCTGCTCACCACGGTCAAGGTGCCCTAAGCCTCCCTGGGGGAATCCCTGGTGCCCAGTTCTCTGAGGAATCTGGATTGGGGCACCATCACATGCTCTTTGAATACAGAAGCAATGATTCAAAATAGCATGAGGGGCTGGGAGTCACAGCGATAAAATGATGGGGCCTCTGATTTTATTGTAAGAACTAAGTTAAAGGAGTGAACCACAGTGAAATCTCTCTTTTCTCTTTTTATTTATTGTGAAAACATCAGAATTCAAAGGTCTAAGTTATTTTACTCTCAATTAAAATCAGTAGAGACTCCCGGCAACTACATACACTTAATGTACATTATTAAAAAGAATAAATTACTGTATGAAGTTACCCGAAGTAAACATACTGATAAAAAGAAACCAAGGGATTTAACTTAAATATTCAAAGTGCTATTCCTTAAGGCCCTGGGCTATCAAAACATCTCAAACATCAGAATCCCCATTGTTCTGACATACTTTAACTTTTTAAAAAAATATGTATTTATTTATTATTGCTTAATATTTGTATGTTTGTTTGTGTGTGTGTGTGTGTTATGCATATACATGACATTCAAAGAGCAACTTGTTGGCATCATCTGCTTCTGCCACCATGCAGGGGTGGGGGTGGTATCCAGAGATCAAACTCAGTTTCGTGGCAACGTCAACATTCTTAACACACACACACACACACACACACACACACACACACACACACACACCAGAAAACACCACACTCCCATCTAAGAGAGTGACTTCTTACTCTAATTTTATTTCTTACATCACTGTAATACCCAGACCCAGGAGACCTGCTTCTGTGGCCCTATGCAATCTTTCTGATTCCCAGGGACTGGAGAAAATTAGTTTTAAAGCTACTCTGTCAGATTTGGATACAAAATAAGTAGTGAAGATTAAAAGTATGATTATAGTAGGAAGATCTTTTCTTGGCCTTTGCACTGGGCACAAAGTACAAAGAGGTACCTCTTAGTTGGCCAGAGAGAAGTCATGTAGAGACATCCCTGAAGGAGGCAGGAAGCTCCAGAAACTGGTCTTTCCACGGGGGCCAAAGGTTTACTCATGTTCTCTGGCCTGAAGAGGGCAGGTTAACGGCAAGCCAGAGCCGAGCTTGAACTAGGCAGGTGCTAGGACCCTGATTTTCCAAGAAAGCATATGAGTGGAAGATGACACAAGAACCCCACACAGAATGCAGAGCCAGTGAGAAGCCGCCTCTTAAAGCACTAACTAAATCCCTACCAAGACACCAAAAACCGGGTCCTTGATGATATGCCGTGTATGCTGAGGCCACAAGCAGACTTCATGAAATCACCGCTTAGCCGTTTTGATGAATAGTGTAAAAAAATGTACCTATTGGCTTCCCAAACTCTAACATCCCAACTAGGAATTTATGAAGTTCAAAGTCAGAAACTGATTCTTAAAGGATGCTCTTAGTCTCAATCTAATTATACAAAAATGGAGTAGGGCTTCCCAAGTTATGATTTTAATACTGCCACAAATAGTGGAAGATACTGTCATAAAAGATACACTTTCAGTTTATTTCAGCATATCAAGGGACTCCAGTTAACACACTGCCATTGGCTGGCAGTCTAATAGCTTCAAATCCCAGACATCAGTTATAGATCTGTGAACTGCGGCCTGTTGGCAGTTCAGAGTTTTCTAAAGAACTGTTAACATCATGTATTGTCTTATTTTGCTACATACCGTAATTTGAACTGTGAACGAACTTCCCCATGTTCTATTTGAATCAGTTCATTATAGCAAGCAATTATGCTGCTATTCTCCATAAATCTCTGAAAAGAAAGCAAAGATAATGCATAAGACATCTCCAATTCTTTTCTTAGAGAGTCAAACAGGGAAACTTAACGGTTGTTCCTGCCCCCAGGTAGCTCATTATGCAAGACATCTTGTAGGTAGGAAGGGACACAGAGAGAAGTTGTCAAGGAGTGTGAAGGGTTTGTTAGAGTGTCAGGGAAACAACAGAGCCGGTGATGCATTTGGCTCACCTTATAACAAAGATAGGGGGAGCTTCATTATGAGGGGTCACAGCAAAGTAAACACACAAGAGCACAGCATGCACCCCCCAGCTTTGTTAATTACGGAACCATTCGGCTTTACCCTGAACAGTCGCCCGAAACTTGATATGCAGCATGCCCAGGCTGCACTGTGCCATTGATTCATTTTTATGGGAGTATTCTCTGCCTCTTTCCAAATCTTTTGGGTGCCTAATGCAGAGCTCATTTGAAATATTGGCGAGTTTGACAACAGAAGGACAATCAAATGAAAAACTAGGCAAAGAATGTGAGTCGACATTTCTTCAGGAAAACATAGAAAATTTGTTCAGCAAACACATGAATGATGTCCAGGCTCACCAGACTAAAGGAATACAAGTCAAAAGCACACTATGATATCATTCATACTCACTAGAATAGGTTTAATTTCAAAAAGAAAAATAAGTATTAGTAAAAATGGGCAGAATCAAAGCCCTGCGCATTGCTGATGGGGCTATGAAATGGAATAGTCACTGTGGAAAACAGTGTACATGTTATTCAAAAATTAAACTCTAGGTATATAATCGAAAGCATTGAAAATGGCTACCTCAAGTAAACCCTTGTGGAATCAGGTCCACACCAGCTTCAGTTTCATGGTATGGGGTAGAATAACAGTCTAGGAAGATGGAAATGGATACACAAACTGTGGTACACACACACAGTGAGATTGTATTTAGGCATAAGCTAGGAATGAAATACTGATGTACGCAATAGCGTGTAAAACCCTCCAGAGTATTAAGTGAAAGAAGAAAGACACCAAAAGCCACACGCTCCATGATTCCATTTATGCAAACCATCAGGACAGATGACTCCTTACAGAGAGACGGCAGACTAATGCTCGCCAGAGTTTGCAAAGCAGGACGGGAACTGCTTAGTGGGGACTTGGGGCGAAGGGACATGCTTTAGAACAAGACCGAGGGTGGGAATTGCAACTGCTCTAAAGGCCACCACATTGTTCATTTGAAAATGGTCTGTTTTAGTTTCATCTCAACTAGAAAAAAAAAAGCCTTTACACATTTACAAACCCTTAGTGGGTTGAGTAAAGGCATAAGCAAAGTCCAAGTCAAACAAAATAGAATTTGAACACCATTCATCAAAGAGCTATGATGTACGCACTTCATACCATGCAGAGACAGCCGAACCTTCTCAACAAGCCCAAACTCATCTCTACATTAAGTTCTCTAAAGAATCTTTGTACATGTATTTTGCCTTCATTTATGTCTGTGCACCACATGTATGTAGTGCCCATAGAGGCCAGGACAGGCTTGGATATCCTGGAACTGAAATTACCAACAACTGTGAGCTACCAAGTAGGTGCTGAAAATTAAACCTGGGTCTCCTGAAAGGGCAGCCAGGGCTCTTAACTGCTGAGATACCTCTGCAGTCTCTTCTTTACATCTTTTAAATCGAACACATCACTTGGTGTAGGATATACAAGAAATCATGCATTTCTCTCATAGGAACACGTCAGCACTTTCATGAGAAATGAGGAAAGCAGAAAAAAATAACCAATAAAACAGTAAGGAGACAGATTTACTCAAGACTGAAGAAAATGTCTTACATTTTACCTCAAAGAGAAAATATAAACTTTGCAGAACTTTCCAAGCATATATCTAGCATACTCACAAGCAAAAAAGGATTCCAAAGTACCCAGTGACCACCTTGCTTCTCAGACAGATAGACAGATGGAGGGGAGAGCGCCAGACCCAGCACAAAGGTCTACTTATAGATTTCTATCATCAAGTCAGCCAGAGAGAAAACCCAACTCCTCTCTCCCCTTCTGTCTTAGCATGTAAGTGTGTGTTCACACATGCATGCACGTGTGCACATACCCCCCCCCACACACACACCTGGAAGGAGTGATCTCTCCCTGAGGAATACCTTCAAAGCCCTCTAACTTTCCATAGGCTTCTAACTTCCCAAGTGGAGTGGAGGGGGACCACGATAAAGCCATAAACACACACACACACACACACACACACACACACACACACACACACAGGAAACATTTGTTCTTTTAGTCACAAAGTCAAGTTGATCAAGATTCACGTCTGCCTGAGTTTTCAGATGAGGGAAACCGGTGCTAGCTGATATCCCTTCTCAGGGGTCACTGGAGACATACTGAAATTTCCAAGGGAAGTGAGTCTAGATGATGGTGAGATGCGTGCATCTTGACTCCAGGAGCCCTCAGAACATCTTGAGGGCTAACATGCTCAATTGCCAATGCGTGCTGAGGGGTCTCACTAAAAGGAGGAGTACATGGTCTACAGATTCACCCGGGAGGCTGCCTTTCAGGGAACACAGGAGCTCCTGGGAGGGTACTCCAGGACATGGCTTGGGAAACTACATTAGTGGGCAGACTCAAGACAGAGCGAAGAGGGGACACACAGCTGCAGCCTTGCCTGTGTTATGAATCTATAAGCTATTCAGATTTTGGAGTCTGTTTCCTCCTCTGAAAAAAAAAAGAAAACGGAGAAAATATCAAATCCTTCATATGTTGAGAAAAATTAAGCAAATCCTCTGGAACTGGGCCTGATAAATACACCACAGCTCCCCGACTTCCCTCTCCAAAGGAAGTTACTCTGGGGAGAAGTGTGGCTCACAGCTGCTAGCCCAGCATGCCTTCCTTCCACATTGCCTCACACGTGGAGCCCCATAAATACTTGTTGAGATGAATAAGCATCATTTCGGGCTTTTAAAAAAAAAGGCTCATGGAGGTGAATGTAAGAGCAGTTGCGTCGGGCAAGATGCTGGATTCCACAAAGCACATTGTAGGCTGAGCATCACCACAGCTGGCCACATCCAAAGGCTTCAGGGGGAGTTGTTGGGGGTTTCTTCCTGGATCCCCGCTCAGGGCTCATAGACCAATGTGCTGGCCCAGTAGCTAGTAACACAAAGCCAAGTTTCAGCAAACGATTTAAATCAAAACAAATCAAGAAAGAGAAACAACCGCACAGAAGGCAAGGCTAGTTGGCATATCTGGAAGGTACTTGGATAGAGAGCTGCCAAAGACAAGATCTTACCCAAACAAGGAGAGAAGCTGCCTGGAGATCTGCCTCCGCCACACTGAGGCCACAACACACAGAGAAATCAATCAGGGTGCTATGTGTTTCACTGGGAGAAAACCTGAGGGGTTGGGGGCACCCTGATCCATTGGTGCACAGCCTTGACAAAATCAGACCAAGCTCTCAAAACACCAGGTAATCCCTGCTAGGCACTAGCTTGTGAACTCCTATTCACCATGGGTCCATTCAACGTGTATGACATGTTTGGACCTGGGCACAGCATTGCAGGGTAGCACAAGACAGGTAAGAAGAAAGCAGTGAACCCTCTTTTCTTAATATTTGTACCTAGAGAGTGACAATCATTCTCGTCTAAGCTTTCCTGTCAACAGATGTGCAATCTCTGTCCCCCAGAGGGTAAGGGGTGGAGAGGTGTGGTCCACGTGACACAGAAGATCAATAAAACAAGCGAATAATTTCAGTTATCTCTAGAAAATGAATGAGCTAACAAAAATGGCAGTCACATGGCGTCTTTGCTGACTGTCCTCTGGCAATTCTGCATTCCCAAACTCGGAGGTATCCTCTTATCCATATTCAAGCAGGGAATACAAGGCAAACTTTCAGAGACAAACACCAACCGTCACAAGGAGAGACAGCAGACACACGGGAAGACGTGTTGGGAGAGTGTGGAATCTCGCGACCTAGATACGGTCATTTCTATTACACATTATGAACCTCTGCTGCCTCCCATCTTTCTCAGGGCTCTGCTCCTAGGCTGAAGAGTGCCAAAGCAGGGGAGACTGCTACCCTACCCTAAGGAAGTTACTGCTTCTCCGTGATCTATGACCGCGGCTTTTCATTTTAAATCCAGAATAGCAAAACACTATTGTCACTTAAAACACTAAGAACTTACAGGACTATCTGTCTGAGTTTAGACTATCAGTAAAATTTACAGAAATCAACTATGGATCGCTACTCTATTTTGACCTAAAATGAACGATTTGTTTTTTTTTTTAAACAGTAGAAATATATATGTTTGTCTAAACATGTGAGGGAAAGACTATAAATTTTCTATATGACTCTGTCTAATATTCACCTTTCTTTTCTCATTCCACTTTCTCTTCTTTATTTTAAATTAATTCCATTGTTTTCTTGCTATTTGCCCCCACATGGCTTTGCCTCCAATCCAGTTTCTATCTTACCTTGTAATCCTAGTAATATGTCTGTATTTTCTTGCTTAGGACAATCAGTCTTAATCTTTAAGTTGATATCAATGTATTTTATATAGTTAGGCTTCAAATTGGAGGCTTTTCTTTTTCTGGTGTTAGGCAATGGTTCACAAGCCAGCATGAACCTGCTCTCAGTTTAAAAGCTCTGGGCAGGCCCCTGGTGGCAATGTTGGACATCATCTTTCTATGACCACACATACATGCCGAGACTGATGGGTAAGATGGAGCTACGTGGGTCACTTGAGACTGCCGGATTTTGATGTGATGTAAGAGGTATTTTGTTATCACCATGTATCGGCTGCTGTGATAGATGGGATTAAGATGACAAGAAGCAAGTGGTTGACTGGCACTTGCTAGTCGCTTGCTCGCTGCCACCCCATGCAGTGCCGTTGCTTCCATCCCTGGTTCACAGTTCTGAGGCCTGTTTCCTGTACTAGTGCTCATGGCTGTGCGCTTTGACCTCAAGGGAGAGTCAGGGAGGCAGTGCCTGCTTTCGAGAGAGGCATTCGGTCCCTTCATACGTACCCGGTTGAAGCCGGCATGGAGGAGAGGAAGAACTGAGGCCTCTTCATGGTCACCAGATCTGCAGCAAAGCAGAAAATGTGGTCACTCAGCAGCTATAAACCGGGATTCCTCACACTGAAGCACGGAGAGAGAGCAATGAGGCCATGGGCGTTGGCTCTAGAGAGGATTCCTGAACAACGTGTGCCCAGGGAGCACCTGCCTGCAGGGACGCAGACCCCACATCTGTCTTCCAGATGTAAGCAGAACACAGGCAGGAGAGGAAGTAACGGCAGCGTGCCGGATGCACGCTTAGCATGGCTAGAAACGCCCTAACTCTGGGTCGCCCTTCGGGTTTGGGGCAGATGTAAGAGAGCAGCCCCATAAAAAGCAATGTCACGCATGTTGTTTTTCACAAAGCTATGTCCCTAACGCAACTAGGTGCTCAGTTTCCTCCCCAAGACCCGGCTGCGCCCAAATCTCAAGGTGACACAGATACCCAACCTTACAGTCTATAGGGCCATACAACCAAATGGGAAAGAGGTGTAAATCTGAACAGAAATCCAAAAGCAAGGGAAAACAAAAACTGATCACGGCCACCCATTTCTTGAGACAGTTTTCAATACTGAGCCCGGAGCTGGGCCATGAGTAAAAAGGTAGGGTGGGGACCTTGTCACTAAGATGTCAATTGTCACCATTAAGAAAGTGTCACCCCGAGACGGCCAGAGATGTGCATAGGACACATTCCTTGAAAATTAGGAAAGACAGCTGGGCGGTGGTGGCGCACACCTTTAATCCCAGCACTCAGGAGGCAGAGGCAGGTGGATCTCTGTGAGTTAGAGGCCAGCCTGGTCTACAAGAGCTAGTTCCAGGACAGGCACCAAAGCTACAAAGAAACCTTGTCTTGAAAAAACCAAAAAGAAAAGAAAATTAGGTAAGACAAGAGGCAGGGGAACTGGGTGGAAATGTCATTAGAAAACAGAGGACCCAGTTTGTCTGTGGCTCTTCCCATAGTGATTCCTGCCAGAGGAATCGTTTCCCTGACTCCGACTTTCTGCCTTCTATGAATGAGGCAGTACAAAGACTCAGTGTAATAATCTTCCATTTCCTAAACTACATAGCGAAGACAGAGGCACTAATTTAGCATCATTCTCTATATAAGAAGCATTTGATAATAATAATAAAAAAAAAACAGAAGTATCGTAACAAGCCATAGAAAACCACCCCTAGTCAAGGACTCATCAACATTCTTAATATATGAGAAGGGCAGAAGGCATTTTGGACTCCAGGGAATAAGAGACCTTGGGAGATGTTGCGTAGTGTGGTCTCCCAGCATCACGCAAATGGATCCTGTTCAGATCTCTGGAGGTAAGTGGAGATGGAGGCTGACCTCCTCCAGGTCCCGACTCACTCTTTCTGGAACCAGTGTCCCACCAGGACAGCGGGTATCAGCACCCACGAGGACAGAGCTTCACCTTCTTTGGACCGCAGCCCATGGAAACCATCATGCAATGAGCCTCTTGGGCAACATTTCAACACAGAGCTCTGCTCAGGGCAGGCCCCTGCCGCCATGGCTTCCTCTTGTGCCAGCATGACCTGTTACAGTGCACTCCTTTCAACTCTCCCTGGGCCAGGCTGCCCTGCAAAACCCCAGACCTTATTGTCAGAGCTGCTGGCCAGTCCGCTCCTTCGTGGTGGAATCTGTGCCAAATGCCATAGCAGAGCCAAGTCCATCAGGTCCTGGGCCCTAATTAGGATCTTAGTCGCTCTGAACCTAATAACAGCCATTAATTGACTATGACAAATTTTGCCACTGGCAAGGATTCCAAGTATTGTGGCACACATACAAACTACTTCTTTCTCTCAGCCAGCCCCGCATTTTAAGTGCAGAACATTCCAGACACTAATCCCAGGAGAACAGCCTCTCATCTCAGGGTGTCACTGTACCGATAGTCAGGCCAATCTTCTTTGCCGTCCACAACTAGCCTAAGTCTCTGGGCTGCTGTTAGCCACACAACGGTCCTCACCTAAGCCCCACAATCCTTTTCCTGCGATGGATTTGGCGCCTCTGTACTCCCATGCCACATTCTTAAGTGACAACTCAGGCACTTTCCTGTCTAAAAGATGAACTAGAACAACATCCTCTCCAGAGTTCTCGGCTTTCTTACTCATTTTTGGCATGTCATGTTGATGAGAAACCTATTTTCCCCCTGAAGTGTGTGAAAACGTGCTAACAGCAATTATATAAGAGGGAGAAGAAGAAAAAACCACCCTAAATATTTTTGGAAACTTGGAAAACAAAGCCCTCAAAGCAAGTTCTAGAAGGGGCATTGCACAGTCTAAGATACGCTCCTCACAGAGCTGGTTCAAAACCTGGATTGCATCATGTAAGTGTCTCAGATGGAATAGTAATGCTGGGGTGAGGGTGCTGCTGGGGGTGTGGGTGCAGCTGGGGGTGTGGGTGCAACTGGGGGTAGGGGTGCTGCTGGAGGTGAGGGTGCAGCTGGGGGTGGGGTGCTGCTGGGGGTGGGGTGCTGCTGGGGGTAGCGGTGCTGCTGGGGGTACAGGTGAAGCTGGAGGTGGGGTGCTGCTGGGGGTGAGGGTGCAGCTGGGGGAGGGGTGAAGCTGGAGGTGAGGTACTGCTGGGTGTGAGGGTACAGCTGGGGTGGGGGTACTGTTGGGTGTGAGGGTGCACCTGGGGGTATGGGTAAAGCTGGAGGTGGGGTACTGCTGGGAGTGAGGGTGCAGCTGGGAGTGGGGGTAAAGCTGGGAGTGGGGGTGCTGCTGAGGGTGCGGGGTCCTGCTGAGGGTGGGAGGTGTTGCTGGCGTGGGGTGCTGCTGGTATTGAGAGGGGTTGCTGGGGGTGGGGGCCTCGGAAGGAAGTGAGAGGTTCTACTGGGGGTAGGAGAAGCTGCTGGAGTCAGAATGCTGCACGGCATGCTGGGGTAGGGTAGGCAGTGGACTTACGCTTGTGAAACCACAGCCAGGATCACGGTGTGCTCAGAGGGGTTGGTGGCCCGGATTGACCTGTAGAAAGAAGTATCAAGTCAAAGCAGCGATCTGGGCTCTGTTACATTAAAACTATTATGGAAACTTCTCTGCACTGATTGTGGTACCAAATCAAATCGTCCTTCAAAGAAAAAGTTTCAGAACACACACGAGACAGCAAAGAAAGATGACCCTGGAAACTGGAACAACATATTTAATTAATTAATTTAGTTAGTTAGTTTTGTAATTGTTTTAAACTCCTGAGCAATTTTCCAACAGGCCAGACTCGCCAGTTTTCTACTTCGAAACTGGCAAATTCCACTTGAATTTCCTGGTTTCTGATTGAAATCTGACTCTCTTTTTAGGAGCATGGCAGTACTATAGACCTTCGATGATCGGTTGGTACCTAGGCAGCCAACTAGGTTGGATTACTTTCTTTTGAAAACAAGAGATCATACAAAATAACAATAAAATTGACAACGATAACATCAAAATAACAGAATAAAATTGATCTAACAATAAAAGTTAAAGCGCTTGCTGGCAGACAGGCAGACAAATGAAGCCTAAATCCTGCTAAACATCACTCAAAGAGTGTCCCTCTCCCAGTTCATCGGTCATTGATGCTTCTGTACTTGGCCATCAGCTGGGCTTGAGAAAGATTGCTGAACTAGGACCACCTGTAGACAATCAATGTATCCTTAGCAGTTCTATAGACTACAAACACACGCAGGTTGTAGTATTTTGAGGTTTGTGACCCTCACAAGATGCGTGATGTTGCACAAGCTCAGATTCTAGACTGCTCTGGTCAGGGCTCCGTGAATCGGCCAAGCCTTTAATAAAGGGCCACATTCTTGAATCTACGGAAATCAGCACTGACCGTTTGAACCTATATCTGTGGTCTGACTTCTGCTTATTTTGAGATCTTTCAAAGAGGAACCGTGTGTCACCAAGACAGGTTCACTCCAGTGTTGGTGCTCGTCACTTCCGGTTCCCATCCAACCTCCCACAGAGCAGGTTCCAGAAGACTCGGTTTACATGTGGGAGCCTAATGTATAGACACTCAGAAAAGTACCAGTTCCCGTATGATGAGAAAAAATACAGCATCCGAGAGGCCCTCTCTGAGATCCAGGGAGATGCTGTACCCATCTTCCTTTCACATAGCTTCTCCTACCCAGTGACGTGATGGGGACACACTGCTAGGTCACCTTCTTAAGAGCCTGGACTTAGACAAGAGGCTAACTCATATACTGAACGTGCTGAGTGGGAGCAGGCTCTTGACTCTCTTTGTGACTGGCCCCTGCCTTTGGGTTACTTTTTGCTCCCCAGAGAAATTGCTGTTAAGAGGGACTCCAATGTCTTCCTGGTGAGAAGGCTAAGGGAGATCTGGAGGTGTATCGGTCTGGGGTCAGGATGCTAAATGAAGGAAGGCCGGGGACCTAGGCCCACAGAGAACATGTACTTCTATTGGCGCATGTCTACGACTCACTTCAGTACAGAGCACTGCTGGCTGTCAATCATTTAAGAATCTAGCTGCCTCTAACAGAACCAGTAACAGACAGTTAGCACATAAATACATACAACTTCCTTCCGACCTCATATTCCCTGCTGCCTTTTTGAGCACCTATAACAAAGACACAAACATCATGCCTCTATCTCTAAGGAAGAATACAAAGACTATCCATCTAGACCTTAGGGGACGCTTGTCTTGAATTATTGTATACCTGCCCTTGTACACCTGAAGCAGTGTTTGATTACAGAGCCATACGAGACGAGTAAGCAAGGGCCAGGACCCAGTTCCAGCCTGAAAATCATTTAGAAAGAAGATATATTTTGTTTTGTTTGTTTTTTATTCTTTGAGATGGTGTCTGGCTATGTAGCCCAAGCTGGTCTTCAACTCAGTAACCCTCCTGCCTCAGTCTCCCAAGTGCTAGGATAACTGAAGTGTTCCATTATACCTGGTTAGAAAGAAAATATATTTCTTAATAGTAAAAATATCATTTTGTATGTGTATGTTACTAAATAGGAAAATATTTCTATGGAGAAAGGTAAGATTTGAAACTGATAAAGCACTGGTTAGTAGCCGGGCGGTGGTGGCACATGCCTTTAATCTCAGCGCTCGGGAGGCAGAGGCAGGCGGATCTCCATGAGTTGGAGGCCAGCCTGGTCTACAAGAGCTAGTGCCAGGACAGGCTACACAGAGAAATCCTGTCTTGGGAAACAAAACAAAACAAAACAACAACACAACAACAAAAACCCAAACCAAACCAAGACAAAAAAAAAAAAAACCACAAAAACCCCACTGGCTAATTAAAAATTCTTTGGGAAAATGCAAGTCATGAAAAAAATAACAAGACAAGGCAAAGCCTGTGACAAAAAAAAAAAAAACCTTTTAATCCATTAATATTCTTGTCAGGATACCAAAAGTTTTAAGAATCAATTTCTTTATTTTTAATTTACTAATATTCAATGAAAGTCTGGCCCCATATGTGACTGGACTCTGTCCTGTTCTCAATTAATTAGTGACTCTTGCAGGCCGAGGTCCAAGCAGTCAACTTCTGTTGAATGGCTCAGTTAACATTGTGCGTCTACTTATGACCAGACAGGTGCTTGCTCCCTGAAGTGCAAGCGTTTGTATAAAAAAGTGGGGGCATGGGCCCCAGGAAGCCTCTGCCACTAAAGTGGCTGCCTTCTTCCCTCCATGTCTGGGAAGCCTGCTACAGGATCTACCCATCTGTGTCACGTATGGAAAAAAATCTCTGCTTCACACATTTCTGATGTTCATTTTGGGACAGAATAATGAAGTTTAAAATATCTACTTTAAATCTAAACTACGTGTAGTAAAAACTGTGTGAATTTTAATGACTCTTTGATGAGCAATACTTGGGAGGGGTGGAGGAGCATCCTTTAAGCTGTAGAACGAGTCCAGCCTCTAAATTCAATACAATTCAAATGTGCAGAAACGGGAAGGCAAGATGTGTCTGTAGGAAGGAGCCATAGCCTGTGTCTTGGCAATCCAGATCTATGACTCTCAGGTCAGTGCTGGGACCCACGCTGTCTACAGAATAAATTCATTTAGAGCCAATCAGGGGGGTTTACTAAGCAACTCAGACGGAGAAAGGTACCTGCACACCGCTTCTGCATCAAAGTTCCGGGTTTGCCTGTGATCGATCACAATGATCTCATGATGCTTGTCCAGGAAGCACTCAAGGGCCGACTCTGGAGTGCGAGCAATGTTGCATCTGTAGCCAGCCCTGTCACAGGCCCACCAGAAGCCGTCGCTCTGACTATCCTCCTTTGCAAAAATTAGCAAAACCTGAAACAGAAAGAAGAGCATCTTGAACCGAAATCCACACCCTCTGGACGGCACCGAAAACAGGCCCTGGGGATCCTGGCTAAACACAGGGCTCCAGAGGAAAGCTGTCTGGGCTCAGCTCCAACAATACCTGGGTTCCCCAAACAAGCTATACCATCTTCTTGGATAGGAGCTAGTTGGGAGGCAGGAGGGTAGGACACAGGTAGGTGCTCCATCATTCTAGTGAGGAGTGGATGCTGCTGGCTACAGGTTTCCTTACAGTCCGCTCTATCTTTAAAATGAGGGAAACAGCATCATTACAGACAGGATAAGTCACGTGGGTTCTGCAGGTAGCATGGTAATCTGCAAAGGCACACATCTGGTCCAATGCAAATGGTTTTTGCTTCCAAGTCCCTGGAGGCTTCCTGCGCTCGGCACTAAAATAGCTGTAGAGACGCAGGAACTTCAGAGTACTGACAACAACCGGAGAGATTAATGTAAACACCCGACTCTTGCCAGCACGGCAAAAGACTGATCATGAACCGTGAGGCTGACGGAACCAAACTGAGGACAGCTTGACTCTCTTTGCCTCATTGCAGAGAATAGCCCCACCCATGGAAAAGAAGGCAGGTGCCATGAAGATACTCCTCAGCATTCTTGAGCTCAGGAATCCAGAGTCTCTGGCAGCTGGGAGCTAGGGAAGCCTTACCACCACTTGCACCTCTTTAGGATCTAACTCGAGTACTGAGAACGAAGCCTCGGGGAGCGAGGGTGGCCAGCCCAGTTCCTTGCCATGTTCCTCCGCCCAGGAGAAGGCTGGCACTTATGAGCTGCCTGGTCAAACCTTGATAGTTGAGACAGTAACTGGTTTTATAAAAGCTACAAGAAGGTTATTCCTGCTTTATTTTTGAGAAAGGCTCTTGCTAGGAAGCCCCAGATAGCCTTGAAGTCACAGCCCTTGAACCTGCTGAGTAACTGGGTTTCCAGGCGTGCACCACTGCGAAGGTCTTCACTACGATCCTGATCCTGCAGGCGTGAGGCATCCTTCAGCAATAGGGTGTGATGCAAAAACACAAGAATCGAAGACATTGGTAAGGCACGCTCCAGCATCCATTTCTGGTTTAAACAATTAGGACCAGAACAGTATTCTCACAGCACGGAGGGCTTTTAAGGCAATACCATAGGTCACGGTAAAACACCCAAAGTGTTTCATTTATAATAAGAACAGAAATAAAGCCACAGTGCCCAACTGCTACCATTATGTTTTTAAAATACCGTATTACTTGAACATTAGAAACCCATAAGGAAGTAGACACGATAATATAATGAATTTCACCCACCCGTCAATCAGTTCCAACAATAGCTAACTACTAGCCAATAGGGGCTTGTTCTATCCCTCCCTCTAACCCAGTGGTTCTCAACCTTCCTAATGCCTTGACTCTTTGATACAGTTCCTCATGTTGTAGTGACACCCCAGCTATAAATTATTTTGTTGCTACTTTATAACTGTAATTTTGCTACGGTTAGGAATCGTAATGTAAACATCTGATATGTGATCCCTGTGGGGGCTTCCACCCACAAGTTGAGAACCACTACTCTATCCCAAATCTTGTGTGTGTGTGTGTGTGTTAAATACAATCAACATAATCTTATCCACACATATCTGTTAAGCAGAAAGATTCATTCCTATAAGGACAAAACCACAATACTACTTCATACCTAAACCTACCCCTAATAATCCCTTAACATTAAAAATATCCAAATATATCATCGATGTCAATCATCTCACACTCTGAATAATTTTCTGTTTTCTCAAGCACCATGTCTCCAGGAGCAGAAATATCTGGGGTTTTTTTTTTCAGCATGATTTTAACATCTTTTTTATTTTTCGCACATGATTTAATACCATCTGCCAGAAAACATGGGGCGGCTCTCTTTCTCTGAGGGCTCACCCTGACCGAGGTCTACCACTCCAGCCTGAGATGTGCCTAACCTTTGCAGACCCTGAGATGCCACTAGAAAGAGGCAGGAGGGAGCTCTCCCCAGAGAGGTGAAGGGCGCTGCCTGGTGGGTCACGACATTGGAAAGAAAGCCTTCAGATCGAACAGTTACTATGGCAAGGACAACAAGTAAGACTGGGTTGAAGCTTTCTTGTGCAAAAAGTCATGAGCCTTCTCCTTGGTACAACTGTGATATTAAGATGAGAAACAATGTGTAGAAGCCAAGAGCCAAAAGCTGACAGAATCTTTTGCCTCACATTCGTCTGGTTATGTGATGGGTCTATAAACCAGAATCTCAACAAGCCACACATTGGGATCATTATGGTTCAATACTGACCAGTACAATAAGAATACAAATCTACTCTCTCCTATTGGACTATACTACAGAGTCCAACCCATCTTTCTCATTTCCCGTGTTTTTACACAAAACTGGAAGGTCTCACTTTTTAAAAAAGAAAAGTCATCAAAAGGTATTATTCCACAGATATTTTCTGAACACATACTGTATTCCTGATGCCTTTAAAAAATCCCTTAGCATATGTTGTTGGACAAAATAAAAACTCCTTGTTTGTTATAGTAAAGAGTAAAACATAGACAATACGCACATTGAGAAATGAGACTATGAAAGGTTAATAAGTGATAAAAGCCACCTAAAAAGTAGCAGGCAGGGCTGGGGAGATGGCTCAGCTGTTAAAGGCTGGACTCAAAAGTAGCAGGTGGAGTGAGGGAGCTCTGGAGTGGGTATCAGCACAGGGAGGGGGCAGGTGGTCAAGAAAGGAGTTGGTGTTTGGTAGTAAAGCTCTCCAGGCAGAACTCTGGAAGCCACTAAGACAATGGTTCTCAGCCTTCCTAATGCTGTGACCCTTTAATACAGTTCTTTATGTTGTGGTGGCCCCCAACCATAAAATTTTCATTGCTATTTCATACCTTCAATTTTGCTACTGTTATAACTCATATGTAAAATATCTGTGTTTTCTGATAGTCTTAGGTGACCAGTAGGATCACAACCCACAGATTAAGAACCATAGCTCTAAAAGGTTCATGACTATGTTTGGGGTGTCTGGGATGTATGAGCATCAGTGTGAGCCAGTGTGACCGAGGTGAGATGGAGGAAGGAGGGGCAAAGGTCGCAAGTGAAGCAGAGGGCTAGACCATAGGAAGGCCATCTTGGCCAATTTACAAAAAACAAAGCAAAACAAAACAAAAAAAACTAGGCATAAGACTGATTTAAACTGGGGACTGCGTTAACCATGCTGTGACAGATAATCCTGGTTATCAACTTGTAGAATCTACTAAATCCAAGCAGCTGGGCACACCTGTAAGGGATTTTCTTGAGTAGACTGCTTAAACTAGGAGGACCCCCTTCCAAGTCTGGGTCACACCTTCTGATGGCTACCTACATTAAGGAAATGGAGATTTTGGGTTTTGCCTGCTTCTCCTCATTCATCTATTCTGTGGCTGTGGCATTCCTTCGATGGTATTAGAACCCACCTCTTCTGGATTCTAATACAGACTGAAGAACAGCAGCTCTCTAGGATTTCCTGGGGCCACTGAGACATCCAGTCTCATGGGCAGAACAGCTACTAGATCCTTGGCTTTTCTACTGGGAGACAACCACGGTTGGACTACTCAGATCACAGTATATAATCCACTCTGATACACCCCCTGTGTATCATATGACTCAACATTGACTGGTCCAATAAGAACACAAGTCTATTCTCTCCTGTATGCTACAGATGTCAGTGGATTTTATTCATGTTGTGCCCACTGTTTGAAACAATAGTAAGAAACAATATTCTAGAAATATTTCCTGAACATCTACCGTGTGTGTGTGTTGTGTTTATGTATGTTGTTTTCATTCTTAGTTCTGATTCTACAGAGAACTCTGACTAACACACATGCCTTTCTGATGTTTTGACACCAGGACTTTGACATGGGGGAGACAGGAATTCTCAGAGGTGATGGATTCCTGACTGCCCCGGCACTTGGGCACTGTCCTCCGGCCCTAATCATCGCAGGACCAGACACCTACAAATTAAAAACAATCCCTATGTCCATGGCCCCCCAAATTTCCCAATTGTCCAGATTTGCCAGTCTTAAACTTGCATATTCTGCCTGCCCTTATTGTCTCATAAACCATAGGAAAGCTTCTATACCTGTCACTTCCTGGTCCCTGGGACCCCTGACTGGCCCTGGAGTGTGTCTGAGTGGTCCCATTAGTGTGATGTTTCCCTTTCTTTTGGAAAGTTAAACCATATTTCCAATGGCATATTTTCATGATGTATTAGCTTACCTGAATAACAATAAAACTACTACTGATAATAATAATCAATTTTACATTCGAAATGGAGTGTTTATATTAGAAAGGTACTTAATAAAATAATTCTTTGGGTAATACTTAAACTTCTTTCCATTTTATAGCACATTGATTTAGAAAAATCAACTCAAAAGCAAAATGGAAATCCATAGCTTTTAGGGTAACAACACAATAGCAACCATCTTGGAATGTACTGGCCTATCTCTAGAAAAATCATTCCTTCTCCAAGAAAGTGGTCACCCTCTCCAAGATCACAGCTGGTTTAAGGGTATCCCACTTCCAGAAAGGTGGATTCCAAGAAGAGAAACGCAGAGGCTGATGACTGGGAACTGTGGCCACTAATAGTGGAGACATTGAAGGAAGGACTTGAAATTTTCACTGTCAAAGTTCTCAGAGGCATCCGGGCCCACTGCCCCTCTTCCAAGTCATGGCTTTGCAACTCTTCCTTGGATCCTGCAAAAAATTGAATCTCTCTCTCTCTCTCTCTCTCTCTCTCTCTCTCTCTCTCTCTCTCTCTCTCTCTGTGTGTGTGTTCTGTGTGTGTGTGTGTATATATACATATATGTGTGTGTCTGTGTGTCTGTGTGTCTCTGTGTGTCTGTGTGTGTCTGTGTTTGCAGTACTAGGAACTGAGCTCAGGAACACACACTTGCTAGGCAATTACCATCCCTAAGTTACAGTCCCAGAGTCTTGTTGACTACCCA